GATTTTTCAAGCCTGCGGTCTAATCTGAGAGCAGAGAAGCCAGATTAAAGAGCAAAAGGATGATGCTTGGGTGATGTGCTCTGAGACAGGAAAAGAGGACAAAAGAAATGGGAAAACCTGTAAATGTGGTAGACCCAGTCCTGCAAGTCAAACCTGGGGTGGGTTACGTGATTCTTCAGGAAACAGTGGGGCTCTGCCTGCTTCTTCCAGCCACAAATGGGATTTCACTTGCCAAGGGGCTGTGCCACACTGTGGGGTCTCCTGAACTGAAGTTGCCCGTGCGTCTGCTCTCAACGCATCTCTGCTTTTGTTAACCGATTCTCAATATGCCAGTGGCAATGAGTTGGTTAAAATAAACCAGTGATTTAATTCTTGATTTAACTTCCAACTTAGTCCAGCAAAGTTTTCAATATTACAAGGACAAGTCCTGTTATGCAAGGCAAAATAAGCTTTAGCCTGAACATTAGTCTAGCCACAGTGAGTTACCATATAAAGGCATAGTTCTTAAATGTACCCAGCTCTTCCACTTGATTCATGTTTCAGCACAGGATCACACTATAGATTCAACAAACATAGATCATTTTAAATTGACAGCTATGTACAATACTATGATACAATGTTATTACAAAACTTAAGAAATAAACCTCTGAATTTTGAAAACACAATACTGCACATTCCCAGTTTTAAAGCAAAAGTAACATGAAACTACGTATTCTACAGCTTGGACATAAAGAATATTGAGTGCAAGCAGCTGACAACAGAATTCAAACCCAGATATTTACTAAAGGATGAGCTGAAATGTGTCTGATAAAGCACTCTGGAAAACCTCTGCTGCTTTAATAAAATGAACTGGGGCCCTGGATCTCTGAAAGTTGATGGATGCATCTGTGTGTGTGAGAGGACTGCAAGACTACTTATGTGCTTCAGCTTAATTGCACATAAGCATCATGTAGAACCAGACACTGTTTATATGGCCATATGCTTGCTAAAATACATACTTCCCCCCCCTCCCCCCTTTTTTTTTCCCCCTGTAACCAATTTCCCTGGCTTTAAATGATTGAGAATAAGAATACTTTTGTCTGATCTGGGTCTTGGGTCTGGTCCTACATAAATCGTCAGTGGGTGATGAGAAGAGGGAGTTAACAAGCTTCCACCTGTGATCATACAGACACTGCTTAATTTATACCCTTACTTTAGTTGAGGCACTGCTATTTTTAATATTTCTCTGAGGGCTAAACACTGAGGTCCTTTCTTGGGCCACACTCAGATGTCGTTCCAAGTGGAGTTTTGCCTAAGAGCAGGTTGAAAGATTTGGTTTCCAGGACAGCAGATGAGAGGTCTGACCCTTTCATGCCACCATACACAGAACTGGCCCCCAGCCCTGTGAGCGCCCAGCGTGAGGCACAAGCTGAGGGGTCCCAAGTCTCCAGGGAAGCTCTCTGGGTCTTGGCGAGGGAACAAAAGGCTGCACGAAGAGAAGCAGTGAGTCTTGTTGGGCAGACATGACTACGGTGGTGTTTTGGCGATGCAGAACCTGGCTTCTGAGAAGCTGGCAGAGCTCTGAGGACACATGAGTGGTTTGCTGGGTCTCTGTTATTTCTTCTGCCTTGCTGTGACACCTGCAGGAGGAGGGAAAATGCAAACTGTTTGTAACTGTAAGACAAAAGCAGTTATGTTTTTGCATGTGCGGTATCTAATGGTCAGGGAACCAAATTCAGGTTCCTCAGGTAACCTAAAAAAAAGGTAGAGCTAAATGTTTATGTTCTTAATAAAAACTTCATGCTTCCAGAACTGATTCTGATGTTCAAGAGTCTGGGCAACTTTGCTTTTAAGCTGGGTGCTAGTTCAGCCCAACAACATGAGTCTTGTGTTTTCCAAGCAGAATACTGGAATATGCTTCTAGGTATTGCTGAACTTACTGAATCTAGAGGATTTAGCAGGACTGTCAGAAGGATGGGGCTGCACACTGTCATTTTTAAGAGCCTGTCTCACTCATAACCAAAGCAAATACCATTTCTAATGACAGACATGAAGTCAAAGGCCATACAGGAAGATGAGCATTAGCTTGGCTGTATTACCATGGTCTGTAAGAAAACTGCTCACAGACAATGCTGAGTCTACAGAAGTGGATGAGAAGCATCTGTTCTCTAGTATTAAAAGAAATAATTTAAAAGAAAAAAAAGGAAGACCTTGATCCTCAAACTCTGACGCGTCTTTGTGGGAGGAGGCTGATGTCTTACTGTGCCATGTACTTGTCATAGTGTCTGGCAGGCAGCGCTATGTCCCTCTCCTGTCCTCTGCCTCCCTCGTCACCAGGCTGTGGTCTTCAAGCACTGGCCTATGCTCCCAGTTTGGTTTGTCCTTTTCTTTCACAGGGAATAAATCAAGTAGATTTATGAGCAGGGAAACTGTCAAAGCCTGGTTGCTTATGGACTTGTGCTTTCAAGACTTTTGTTTCCCCTAACCTTTCCAAGTGACATAAAGATGGGAGGAGAGGAAAAAGGGAGCTGCACAGACAGACATGAACATTTGTCTGTAGCAATTATCTGGGGTTTAAGGCAAGGGAATTCAAAGAGCACTTCCCCTGAGTTCAGGCATTTGTGCAGTCCCTCTTCTGTTTAACTGTCAGCTTTTGTTAAATGGTCTTTCTTCAAGCTCTTTCAGATTTGTCAGGAAATGTGTTCAGATGTTAACAGGGCACACACAAACACAGTGTGACACATGATGCCACAGGAAAACCAGCTAAACCATTTTTTTCAGGAATATGGAGATAATGTGGGATACCACTCTTTGGGTGTATTGAAGAACATTAATATCAATACAGAAACTGCTGCACAAGATATAGTCAAAGTGATGCAAGAGCTCAGTAGCTGATTATAACAGTCTTTTACTGCTCTGAAATACTATTTCACAGAGCCACAGGCTGTTCTTGTCTTTACTCTGTTGCTGTTACAGAAGCTTTAAAAACTGATAAGCTCAATCTGCACAAGAAGCAAGAAGATTCCTAAGACTTCACTGAGACTCAGCAACTTCCACATCCAGCAAATCCACCAGACAGAAATATCCTGTGCCAAAAGAGAACTGGTGCTGTGACCTGACCAGACCATGTATGCTTGGAACAGAAAAAGAAAATAAAAAAATAAATTATGTGGAACATCCCAGGAAAAAATATTGATGGTGAGCACTCTAGGCTTGCTAAGAGGGACAGACTTGAGCTTCATTTGGGTAAGGAAGCTGGAGAATAAGAAAAGCAAACAGGTTTTTGTTTCAGCTAACCTTCCAATGGGAGGAGAGGAACAAAGGAATTGCAGGTTTCAAGGTGCAGCTCATTGCTGCCCTCCTGGCACCAAAGCACAGGCAGGTGCTGCCAGCACAATGCAACTCCACCAGGCACTGCATTTCGAGGATGCATTCGAACTCCTGCCTGCCTCAGTCACTTTATAACCATACTGTTTGTCCATGTGTTCCTCTGTGTTGCTTTCCTGTGTCTGCTGAAGAGAATGCAGAGCTGTCTGTGTCTGGTTTTTCCCTCAATTGGGACTGTTTTCAGGCCTGCATGTTGGAATCTGTGCTTAAAAAATACATAATCTGAGTTATGCTTAACTCACAGTTTCAGCTGCCCTCCCTGAGCACAGTCCTGACATACTTCTTCCTTATGCTTCACTGCTATGATTTTCTGCTCTTGCAGTAAATCTTCCTTAGGACTTTTAAACCAACAGAACTACTTCCCTTTTCCACTTGATATAATCCTGCGATGCATCACAGATAGGGCCAAGAGGAGGGCAGGAGTAGTCAGGACTGTTACTACTTAATTTGTATCTCATTTTCTCTTGCTATCAATGATGCTCCAGGTGCAGGAACAAAAGCAACCCTGTGTAGAAATCCTGCAGAGATTCCTAACTTCTGCCACCCCAAGGGCTGGGGCCATTGGGCTGTGTGGGAACAGGGCTCCCAGCTGGCCCCCCAGCCCCAGGCACTGGGGATGCTGGAGAATAAATACATTCCTTTTAAATACATTCCTTTCAGGAAAGGAGACAGAGGGAGATTTGACATTATTGATTCAGCTCATAAGAGATGCTCATCAGCATGGAAAGGACAACGCATAACTATGCAATTTCAGTACAGTGGGTATTTAGATTGTTTTTTTTTCCTTGCTTTTCTTTCCACTTGCCGTAAAAACAGGCAAAATTTTGTAAACTAAAATCTCATCCTGAAACTCCACAAGTTTTCTTTTGAGAGTTGAGAGGCAACATACAGTTGCCACTGTATGTTGCCAGCATCAGTAAAGGATGCAGCGAACTTGGTATGCCGTTTCACTAGAAATTTGGTTAGCTGTATTATTTTTTTGGTAACAAAAGCCAAATGACTTACTCCTACCTCCATCCCAGAAAGCTGCATGAATGCACATAAGAAGTATGCATGGTCTGTTTGCTCCAATGGCCTAATTTGTGTGCAGCTCTAGAACTGAATTTGGCTTTGAGACGGAGTTGGTGTCTTGCCTCAACCAGTACTTCCCCCGGGTTCAGTGTTCTATTCCCTTTTCCAGATACCTATATTTAACTGGTGCTATAGGAAGTAACTACCTGCAAGTAAACCAAACATTGTACTTTGCAGGAGCTAGGTACTGAAATTGCATTTTTACAATTTTTGAGAAAATAATGTTATCAAAGCAAGGACTTTCTTTCTCACATGAAGATGGATTCATTTGGTTAGAATAATGACTTTTAATTATCTGCAGGGAAAGGTTTGGTTGCTGCTGACACAGAGGACAGACATGTGGGGCTGTGACCCTGTGTCGAGGGGAGATTAGCACTGACTCCACTCAACGCAAGATCAACACCCTGGAGAGTAAAAATCAGAGCAACAAATTTATTTTACATGTATTTGTGATTAGACACAAAAACAAAAAGCTTAGCTGATATGCTGAATACTGATTAGGTCTGTAAAATCCCAATGCTGTGGTTAGTTCACGTAAAAACACTTTTGCGAGTTTACATACCTCATTGTACCACACAATCTTTTTTTGTTTTATTATCTCCAGTATCAGTCTCAACCTCTGCTTTTAAACAAAAGAGAGACACTAAATACATCTGATCATAGCACAGCAAATACAACAACAGGGAACTTTTTATGATGAAAACGTTGTCTAGTAGCAGAGAGTTTCCTAAGATGCCATCCCTGGATGCCCAGGGAATCCTGTGGCTTTTGGGGGAGTCAATTCCTTAAGCCAGAAAGACTCATTTCAGATGTCAGGAAAACCACTACATGGTCCCATGCTGGGAGGATGGGCTGCTCCCATTGCTGCAGCTCCTCCTGCTGCCTTATGGAAAACAAGTTTGGGAACCACTGCTCAATGGAAACCACTTCTGGTTTGTGAAAGCGGCACGTTTAGAATGTAAATAAATACAGCTCCAGGGCATATTGGCACTATAAGGTAAGTCCCTCAGTGGTAGATGCTCATCTTTCTGAGCAGTGAAAGCATCTTTCTGAGCATCTTTCCTTTTTCCTCCACTTTCTTTGAAAGGAAAAACATCAAACATTGATAAAAAGTGACTTCCACCACTTTCCTGCCCATTTGTTTGACCCCAGGATCTTGCAGAAAACAGGCTTTGGACAGTATATTGTGTCTTTCTAAAGGCTGACAGACCCATGTGTCCTCCCTGTGAGACACCTCTAATTTGGGATTCAAATACCCACCCAAAGGTGGCTTCAGCTCAGTAGACTTTGAGGGACTTGGACGCACCTCCCAGGTTTGGGACCACCAGTGGACGTCTCCCATGAGGCAGAGAGCTGGGTGGCTCCATGCCTTCTGTGTCTGAGCTCTCCTGGCACCAGTGGGACAACCTAGTGCAAGGGATTGATTTGGCTGGCCAAATATGATCCTTCACAGCAGTGTCAGCAAGATCACTTTAATTGTTGACTTTCTCCCCTCTCCCTGCAGTGACGATTTGAGGGCTTGAGCTTCAGGATCCACCTAAAGTCCCTCTGTGGCAGGCTGTCAAGTGACTGCTCACAAACTGTTGTTGCAAGGAGGCTTTAGGAGAGGAAAAAACAAACAACCCCATGGAACACTGACGTTGCTGCCTTTATGTGTTTGTAAGTAGTTTGGAGGGGGTGACGGCTGATTAAGTACGCAGTATTAACTGCTCTTAATCACTGCTCTGGAGCCTAATGGGGCTCTTGTTTGCACATAACTGTGCCTTGTAGCTGTCTTTAGCACACTTGACAGATGTGCTTATTGCCATCTTTACTGCGTATGTGTAATGGGCTTTTTAATTATTGATTCATCATTACCCTTTTATAAACTACTTGTAAATGTCAAGAGAATGAACTATGCTTGTGTTTTTCTTTTTCAATCTCTTTCAGGTTTAAAAAAATCACAGCTCCATGAAACAGTGTGGCTCTAGGGGCAGGGGGCATTTGACCTCGATGTGGGGAGGAACAGATATATACAAATATAGGAGGAAGCTTCCTCAGTTTATCAGTCCCCAAGGGCTATATAATAAATAGGCTACCTGAGTAGCTTTTGCTGTGCCTCTTCTTCTTCCTCCTTTTCCCAGATGACCTCTGCTTTTCCCTGTCGGCGTGAGTTTGCTCTGGAGTAAGTGTTGCTGAACAAGAGGAGTCAGTGGCTGGCTCCTCTGAGAAGGACTTCTCTTGAGAGGTGTCCAACAGCGAGTCTGCACCAGGGTCTTCATTTTCCTTTGCCATCTCTTTTGACTCTGCTTGATGAGCCTCATGGAGAGCAGACTGAGTACTGCCAGGGTCGACCCTGCTCTTGCTCAGCTGGGTTTCTGGCTCCTGCGCGAGCCCATAGCTCTCCAAGCCATCAGCTGGGCATTCCTTGTCCTGGCCTTCTGAGATGGCCCCGCTGGTCCATCTGAGTTGGTCTCTCAGGGTAGTGGCCGAACTACTGCTCACAAATGTTATCCCTGTGCCCATGTTAGCAGTAGAGAAAGCAGTGGAACAGCTCTTTGTGCTTGGCTGGAGGCTTGCCCAGCTGTCTGCCTGCTCCATCCCAGTGCCTGGCATGGGCTGACCGGCGCTGTCAGCTTCCACCAAGCTTACTGAGGGGCTTTCTGTCTGGGTCTCTGGTGGCAAATCTCCTTCAGCATTGTTTTTAGAGAACACCTGGTTTGAAGCTGAAGCATCTGTAACATCTCCACCCACCTCCATCAGGGCAGTGTTTGATGGGGAAGTGCTTTCTGAGGGATGACCATCGTTGTTTTGCTTGGTCTTATCATCCATCTGCTCTCCGGCTGCTTGTGGATCCTTAATGCTGTTTCCTTTGAATGAGAAATGTGCAGTCAATCAGCCACAGCTGCAGAGTTGCATCTGGGATCAACCAAGGTGTTCCTGCCACTGGGAGAGCTTACGAGCTAGCAGCTGCCTGGGGAGGGTGCACTGATCCTAAAGAAGCTATGCAAAGGCAGAACCATTTTATCGTCCCTGTACCTCCACTTCTTATACCCCATGTGGCTACCCCAGCTAGACTACAAGGCTCCAGCTCAGCAAAGCCCCTGCTCTGTTTTCAGCAGGTATTTCTGTGCCTTTGCTGCCAACCAGATGATATCCATGGAAGTCCCTGGACTCCCAAGGATGCCTGAAAGCCTATGGCAGGAAGAGGGAACCCACCTGCAAGGTGCCTGAACCAGGGGGGCTGCTGGCTTGGATGCATGAGTACTTCAAAACTGCCCATCAGCCAGCCTAATCCTGCCCTTTCAGAGGAGGTTTAGAAGAGCCACAGCACACAGCTCAGGCTCTATGGCAGGCCCAACGTCCTTAGACTTACCTAATGTGCATTGACACCAAGGTCAAAAGACCAAAGAAAAGCTAAACCCATGGGCTGTCTCTTAATAAGCACATAAGGACTTAGGTCCTTTTGCAATTAAGAGTTTTTTAATCTGCTTTTTAAGGGCTTCTTTGGGATCCCAAACATAGACTAAGATAGGGTACAGCAGGCTCCAAGGCAGTGACAAGGTGTGCTACCGAGACTTGATAGCACAGAGGGGACTTGTGTGGGGATGACAGCAGTGCCCCATCAACATGGTTGTGTGGCTAACCTGCAGGCCGTGCCTCTTAGAGGGTTTATCAGGATGGGTACAAGGCCATATTGCTCTAAATTGCTGCTAATTCTGGGACAGACCTGGCTGGCAACAGTTCAGGGCTCTCCACTCCTCTTCTCCACAGCACTGGCTGCAAAACCTCCTTAAATAAAATGCCCCAAATACAAACATGATGGCTTCTTGCTTATGTGCTTGGCTCAGGCTCAGTGGCAGATGGGAATGAAGAGCTGCAGGTACAGTTGGGTCTGTGTCCTTACCAGACTGGCTCTCCTCTGGGCCTTCTGCAGGCAAGGTTTTAGGAATTGCATCTGACTCGTGTCTGTTCTTCGTCTTTCTCAGCGCGAACCCTTTCCTTATGTCGGCTAGCAGCGCATCGATGACACACACCTCCTCCTGCTTCACCACCCCCTTCTTAACTGGGAGAGAGAGAGAGATCTGGGTGTTAAATTTGCCCATGAGATGGGGCAGGAGGAGACTTTGCAGTGATGCTATTGCTTGGGGTTGGTACCGCTGTGCTGCAACAAGCAACCACTGGGCAAAACCAACGCATCGATGCCAAGCCTGGCAGCAGCCCATGCTCCATTCCCCCACAGCAGCGTGTCCCATCTGAAGTCAAAGGGTATATCCCAAACTCTGGGTGCTACAGGCTGACACCTGCTCTGCCCAGATTTGGTGCTTGGTTGTACCATAACCTTGAAAAACCTCCTGTTGGTGGGGGCCTTTTTTTTGGGAGGGAAAATAATACTAATTTTTCTTTCAGCTGCTTTCAAATGTACTCTTCAGTTGTGCCTTTTGTTTTCATCCAGAGAAATGCAGATTTAAGTTGCCTGCAGGATTTTTGGGACATCAGTAGTCTGTGGTAAAGAGAGACTATTCAAGTGTACATGGGGATTTTGGAGGTGGGGGAAGCCAAATGTTTCTTATTAGATTTGGGATTCAAAAGTTATGTTTAGAAACTGAAAAGTTAACTGAAATGTTTCTTTTTTTTTTTTTTTTTTTTCTCTGCTGTTCGGTGAGAAAATCTAAAATTAACTTCTCTGCACAGCTATAACTGTGAAAAGTCAGTTCTCAGCTATGGTTGTAAGACTTCAAGGCTAAAAGCCTTTAGTCAGCAGCATGTGGAAACCCACAAAATAAGTTACCACTGCTGGTCCATTAAAGCAGGGCCAGTAAAGAGCTCCTCTCAGCTCTCTCTCTCTTTTTTAAAGTCCTTTCAGATACTTACTGACTTTTCCGTTTTCTCCCTTCTGTCTTTTCCCCTCTTCCTCTTCCAGCTGTTTCTTCCTCTTCTCTGCTTTGGCAGCTTGCTCCTTTCTGTCCTTGTTCTCCTGCAGTGAGGTAACAGGGGCATGAGAAGGTTGGCTAACTGTCTGCTAGAAAAACTGATGAAGAGAAAGAAGATCTATAGATTGTTGCAAGGGAGGATGAGAAATTCTGGCCTTATCTCGTGCAGTAAATAAAATGGGCACAGGGAATAAGGGCTGTCTTGCCAAAAGCCAAGACCACTGGCTTGGCCAGGACTCAGACACATCCCAGTGGGAGGTGGCAGTGGTGATCTGCCCAACACAGCTACTTAGCAGTGTGCAGATCTTCTGCCTGACCTCTAGCTGAGGCAAAAGTGGAAGATACTGAAGCCACAATTCCCTCCAAACTGCTGGGTTCTTTACTATACATCTCCTTTCTGAGTCTGTTTGCTCAGGTCGGAGCAAAGGGTTAAGTTTTATTAGCTCTTTCCTCTAAACCTTGACACTTGACTGGAGTCAAGTCACACTTGACTTCAAAGCATCTTTGTGACTCTGCAGCTAAAGTTGCACCAAAATCCCAAAGCACCAGGGTCTGGGCCAGGCCAGGAGCACCAGCAGTGCATGAGGACGCAGTGGAGTAGGGATCAGATGCCTCTTCACTTGGTAACCTCATGCCAAGCACTGAAAGGAGGAGGCCATAACCAGCATCTTCCCCACACTGGATTCGGGTGCCCATCCCACCCCTGTCAAAGAAAAGGTAGGCACCAGTACTAGGGATGCTCAGCATCATGTGTGCAGATGCCAACCTTCAGGACTCGGATGAAGAGATCTCTGAAGGTCTTCATCGTGCTAAATACGTCCTCTAAGGACAACTTGCTTGGGTCTTCACAGAGATAATTTGCAAGTTCTTCTCTCTTCCTTTCAATGGTTTCAAATTCTTCTTCCAGCTTTCTGGAGGCATCAATGCTATCCTGAAATGCATTTAATATACACAGTAAAACACCATCCAGAGGACAAGGAGTGAAGTGCACTTAAAGAAAAAGATATCAGCATAAGAGAGCTTGGAGTAGGCTCCAGCTTTTAGCTGCAGCAGAGCTTAAAAGGTAGGAAAAAACTAAGATTTGCAGATGACCTTTGCCCCTGGCGACTGTGCTGTGCCATTTTACAGGGGTGGCTTGGGCAAGACATGATAAGATCAATGCAAAGCTTAATGCCAAGTGAAGGGCTTTACTCTGGTGATCCACACAGAGGGTGAACATCTTCACTCAATGAAGTCACACACAGAGTGGAGAGAGTAGTTGGGGCAGGGGCCTTAGGAAATGGCCTCACCAAAGGTATCTAGGTCTGGGGTGGAGCTAGCAATAGAGACTAATGTGTTGTGTGGCATTGCGGCCTATTTCCAAATCTGAGAGCATGTTTCATAGGAATGTTTTCCACCCTTCACTGAGCCTCCTCAGCTGCATACGTATTGTGCACTGCTTGTGTGTGTAATGGGGGAGATACAAGGGAGCTCCGTTACTGACCTGGATAGGTTTCTCATACTGTTGTTTCACATCGTCATTTGATGATACAACCTTTCGCTGAAGCTCCAGCAACTTCTTTAAATTGGTACTGGACTCCGTGCGTATAATATCAAGATTAATTCTGAAATTACACAGAAACCCCCCATTAGCTGATACTCCAGCATCTTGTGCTGACCAAAGAATGGACAGGTCTGAGCTGGCAGTTTGGTTGTCCCTCTGCTTCCCACTACTTCACTGAACTGAAGCCTGAGATCTTAACTCTCTATACAGTCTGAGCTCGTAGAAAACAGCTTCCCTCCAACAGCACTTATGAAAAGGCTGCCAGGTCTACCTAAAACTTAATAAAAGCCCACCTATCCAAAGGGCTGTTCACCACCCTTAGAGCTTGGCATTAGCTCACTTTCCCTGGTTGAAGGCATTTCTGGGTAGCTGGCCTTCACAAACTCCTGGTACCACAAAGGCAGTGCAGATTCTGGAAGGGCCTGGGAAGCAGCGTTAGCTTAATGCTCTGCAAATTTCAGCCCTAAGTGTTGCCAGCTGTGGTAGAACTATTCTATATTAAAGGGGTTTCAACATTCATCAACCAAATCTTTCGGTTAAAACTAAATAAGATGTTATTATTACGTTAATGTGCTCTACCAGCTGTGTGTGTCCTAATTTCTGGTACATTGTTGATGTGTATGGGATTTATTTTTGTTTTTAAGGAAGTGACACACAATTTTACCCTGCTGCTTTTGAAACATATTCAAGATCCTTTGGCAGTTCCAGTAGGTCCTTGTGGCTGTTTTCTACTTCCTGAAGTGGAAGAGATAAAGAAGTGTTACTTGCTGTAGCAGGAGCTGAGAGGAAGCTGAGGAGAAAAGACACAGGCAGAAGTGTTTGGGAAGGAGGACTGTGCCGTGTCCTGCTGCTGCCCCTCCTCTGCAGTTTGTGAAGCCACATTCAAAACAGTATGGCACATTCAGAGAGGAAAAGCATTACTCCTGGACTATAAAACCATACAAGAGGGCTGAATGTTCAAAAATACTCATAGTTCAAAGCAAGGCTGACCTACTGCCAAGTCCTCCCTCTCCTGCAACACCTACTCTTGACCATGGGAGGAGGCAGGACTGTGGTTTGATGCAGTCTGACACTTTCTACAATCCCTGGAGGGGTTCAAGAGTGCTTGAATCTTATTTGCATAATTTACTTTCATGGCTGTGCTTGCTGAAGCTACTGCCAGCCAAAGCAGGGCTTGAACATGTGTAACTGGAATGGAGGGACCCTGATGAATGAAGGTGGCAGAGAGAAGCATGGAGAAAAAAATTTAAAAACAGTGATTCGGGAAAAAAGCAAGCAATGGGGGCCTAGAGAAGAACAACAAAAGCTTGAGCATGGTCTGGTGGAGAAGGGTCCAGCTGTAGACAGGTAGATGGGCTGAATGGGCACAGACCAGCCAGGACAGCTTTGGTGGCCATGTGTTCTGTGTTTGCAGCTGGAGACGTGCAGATTGCACAAATGTGAAAGAGGAAGTTCCAGCCACTGAGGGGAAAGATGCTGGAGGAAAGCGGAACAAGTCTTAAAATAAGGAACTTCCTGAACAGGGCCCACAAGCAGCCTCCACCAAGTAATTCAACCGTTCGCAGCTTGTGACACTCTACAGCTAGCCAGAGGGGATATGAATATGAGCATGTGGCTTTAACTGAAAGTAGAGTAGGAGAAATAGTTCATCCGTGATAAAGTCTTTCCCCTTCCCTATTGCCCAGGACTTAGATCAGTACCTCCAGAATATGGTGCAGCAGTGTAATGCGGGTTTGGTTTGCTTTGGTTTCCGTTAGTTTGAGTAAAGTGCTGATTTTAAACCCATCGGCATCGCCTGTGTGACTTCCCTACAAGATAAAAAGAAAGCAGACGTAACTCCTGTGTCCGCCTAAATTACAACCCTAAAGATCATCCATATACTGAAATCATGGCAGGACACGACAAAAAAAATCCCTTACATAGTTCAGGAAGTTTCCAACTTTGAGAATCAGTTGACAGAAAAGTGGCAGGCGATGACTGTTCAGAAGATCTGAAAAAACATAAAGAGCTTTTAAACAAAAGCCTCTATTACAGCAGGATGATTCCTAAACTGCATTGAAATTGGGATTCTGAATTTCAAAGTCTAAATCCAAATCTGATATTTCAGCTTTGAAGCCCAATGGCCCAACCTGCAGAGAAACTGATTCTATGTAGACTCAATTCCATGAGTTGCGAAAGTTTTTTTGACTCATGTTTCTTTCTTTCTTCCCATCTGGTTTCTCATTCCTAATGGAAAATAACCTGGAGCTGGACCCTCCTCACTCACAGCCATCAACTTGCTGCCATCTTTGGAAGTACTCTGATTTACCCTGGTGTAGGCAAGGGTAACTGGGCTGCAATTTTAATCTTGCAGACTCCATTCAGTTGTGCAGTGATGCCAGTTCTGACAGTCCTGTGATTATTGGCTGGCTGCTAAAACGAGACACGCTCGCCCTGTTCTTGGTCTTGCATAGTGGAGGTGATTATCAGGGCATGAAGGGTATGGTCCTTGTCCTTGCTCTTATGACAGAGTGCTGCAGTGGTGTGCTTTCTGAAGCACTCGGCTTTGAGGCAGGAACAGGTCCAAAAGGACAACTGGGCTGATGGGAAGACACTTTCCGGGGAAAGCTTCAATTTATCCCAGCAGGCAGCTGTGATGCCAGCTGGAGAAACCCCCAACAAGCAGCTGGGGGAACTGACTCTGCTGTGTTGACAGCACCTGAAAGTGTCAAAACAGCATCCTGCTCTCAGTGGAGTGGGACCTCAGGTTTCTGCCATATGAAGCCAAAACCTATTGCATAATTTCTCCATGTACTCACAAAAATGAAGCATCTGCAACTTATTGCCCAAAATAACAAACTTTTTCTTTTGATTCCATTTGTAGGCAGGGAAAAACTAAAGCATCACTACTTTCTGGGGAACGTGCTTTCCTGGCAGCAAAGAAAATTGCCGTGTGAAGGCCTTAATGTGGCAAATAGTGATGGATGAATTAACTGTAACGGGACCAGCTCCGCTGTCTGAATTCAGCTCCTCTGAAAGGGCTGACGAGCTTCCAATGCTCCACTGTTGAAAGTGTTTCAGAGGAATACATCTGCTGCAGCAAAAGAGGGCTGAGGGTGTGGAAAAATCATCTCTGGCCCTATTAAGGGCTTTGACCATCAGTGGAAATGCCTAAACATGTACCCCAGTGCATCAGTGAATGAACCATAGAGGAGTTTTTCTGGGGGCTGGGTAGTGTCATTGCAGAGCTCCAGAGGAGTTTTGGGACATTTAAAGCTTCCTGTCATAAATAAGATTGAGAAATAAGGCCAGGTCATACCTTCACAGGCTCTCCGGATGGCTTCAGCTTTTGGCTGAATCATGTCCAGCACAACGGTGGTCTCTTCACAGATCAGCATACATTCAATGCGCAACTGGTAGCTAACAACAGAGATTGATTCAAAGCTTAAAGGCGATCTCAGCCAGCACAGCAGCCCTCCTCTCACATTATGGGTAAGACTGGCCACCCCATAACATCACTGTCAACCACAGCCACATCACACCAGTGTCTGTGGCTTGTGAAGAGAGGCAAGGGGATGCTGCTTGCCTTAGGAACCAGTGCAGATGTAGTTTCTGATGATGCACTGTGATCTAAGAGAAGACTGATCACCGTGTGAGGTACGGGTTCCCCCTTCTGGGCAGGTCTGACCCTGGGTATGGGCCAGTTTCTGCTGCTTCAGAGGTGCTGGAGCAACAGCCCTTCATCTAAGGGTATAATGGGAAAAGTATGGCCTCAAGGTGAAAGGAGGAATCCACCAGCTATATCCATCAGCGTTGGTCTGTGAGTCTCCTATAAAGAAACTTAAACTTTCCAGAGGTAAACCAAGAAAAAGATTGGGCTGAAGTTCATGAACAACACCCTTACCTTGGAATCTGAAGGAGAAGAAGATAAAATTGATCTGCGTTTGCTAGTTTTGATTTCTCTTCTTTGAAGGCCTTCAGGTTTTCTATCTAAAGAGAGAAATAAAGAATCAAGACTGCAGGACTGCACTGCATACTCAGCTCTGGAACTAAGGTTACTATTTTTCCTCCTGACCTCATGCTTTTCAGGCAGCAGCTTCAGCAACTGCTTCAGAACCTCAACATCAAACTTGGTCCGGTCCCCATTCTGGACCATGCAAGCCACCTCTTCATTGGAGCTGTAGGGAGGAAGAGCAGAGTCAGCTGTCACCCAAAGACCCTTCTTCCACAGCCACACACTACCAAGACATGTATCTGCACAAGCACTCTGCTGTGTTTTCCCTAGTGAAAGCCACAATAATCCAAAAGGAAAGATATGTCCCTATGATATGCCTCTGTGAGCTTAGAACTGTGTTCTGGATCCCTACTATGCTCCATATTTTGTTTCTGGCCCTGGTCAAGTAACTCCAGGCTAGAGGTCAGTACTGCAACTCAGATCTCTGTCTCTGGGGGTCTGAATATCTTAAAAGAAAGTTTAATTCTTAACTTTTCCACCGCCCTTGTTTTGAGGAGGGATTTGACATCCAGAGGTGTCTCACAACCTATCACCGTAAGAGTCTATGCTACAACATTATCTGTAACACGGTGTGCCAGTTTGGCTGGAGCAGTTTTTTACTTCATGGAGGCTAGTATGGGGCTATGTTTCAGATTTGTTCTGGAAACAGTATTGATAATATAGGGATGTTTTCGTTACTGTTGAGCAGTGCTTACACAGAGTCAAGGCCTTTTCTGCTCCTCAACCCACTAGCAAGGAGGCTGGAAGTGCACAAGGAGTTGGGAGGGGACACAGCTGAGACAGATGACCCCAACTGACCATAGGGATATTCCACACCATATGGTGTCATGCTCAGCTATATAAAGCTGGGTGCCTCTGTGAGCTTAGAACTGTGTTCTGGATCCCTACTATGCTCCATATTTTGTTTCTGGCCCTGGTCAAGTAACTCCAGGCTAGAGGTCAGTACTGCAACTCAGATCTCTGTCTCTGGGGGTCTGAATATCTTAAAAGAAAGTTTAATTCTTAACTTTTCCACCGCCCTTGTTTTGAGGAGGGATTTGACATCCAGAGGTGTCTCACAACCTATCACCGTAAGAGTCTATGCTACAACATTATCTGTAACACGGTGTGCCAGTTTGGCTGGAGCAGTTTTTTACTTCATGGAGGCTAGTATGGGGCTATGTTTCAGATTTGTTCTGGAAACAGTATTGATAATATAGGGATGTTTTCGTTACTGTTGAGCAGTGCTTACACAGAGTCAAGGCCTTTTCTGCTCCTCAACCCACTAGCAAGGAGGCTGGAAGTGCACAAGGAGTTGGGAGGGGACACAGCTGAGACAGATGACCCCAACTGACCATAGGGATATTCCACACCATATGGTGTCATGCTCAGCTATATAAAGCTGGGGGAAGAAGAAGGAAGGGAGGACATTTGGAGTTATGATATTTTGTCTTCCCAAATAGCCATTAGTTGTGATGAAGCCCTGCTGTCCTTGAGATGGCCGAACACTTGCCTGCTGATGGGAAGTGGTGAGTTAATTCCTTGTTTTGCTTTACCTGTTAAACTGGTTTTATCTCAACCCATGAGTTTTCTCACTTTTACTCCTCTGATTCTCTCCCCCATGCCACAGAGGGGGCAATGAGAGAGCGGCCGTGTGGTGCTTCGTTGCTGGCTGGGGTTAAACCACGATATATGGAGATGTAACGCCTTTGCCAACATATGGGGAATGTTGTATGTAAAAACATAAAAATTAAGCCCGTAAAGTTAGTGTTTCAAAGACAGTGTAGGAGAAACTGGGAAATGTTCAGATGTTTCAGTAACACAGATCAGCATTGGCTTTTTAGAATAGATTTCATGAGGACTTTCAGGATACTCTGCAAAACCTGTTCAAAGTTTTGTCAACTGTCACAAAAATTTGCCATATCTTACCATTTAAATTGCTTCAAAAATATGTTCAAATTGAGACTTTTCTTGGAGTCCAAAAATGTGATCTTCATTAAAGAAAAAGAAGATATCTCATATTAGATGAGCTGTTTGCAGTGATCTTTAATCGAAAGAAGGAGAGGGACCTCCTCACCTCCTTTGGTTCTGCCTTCACTGGTGCTGCTGTTTTCTCCTTGGGTGTTAGTTGTGGAAAGCAAAAGAGCTGCTCTATGCTTGTGTAATTGGGCTCTATAGTTTCCTCGCTGCTGCTGCTCACTGAAGCCCACATTGAGTGACTTTCTGAAAAAAGAGAAGGTGTTCAGACTGACTACAGGGACAGCTGAAAGCTCCTGGGTTTTGGGACAACGTGAGTTGCTAGAAGGGACACATCTCAGAAATGAATGAAATAAGAAGAGGCATCTTATTTCTGCACAAATGCTAATTATTGAGGAGGGTAAAGTCCCATAAGCAGGATCCAAAGGGTCCAAAGGGTAATTAAACCTGGTGCTTTACCCAAAGATATGCCGGTAAGGGGATGCAGCACTGGGCACACAGAGGCCATACAGCCCCATCACTCCCTATATGACTGCATTCTTCTCCACAGCAGGCAAACTAGATCAGCATGAGAAGGACCTTGGCAATTTCTTTTCTAGTCCTCTGACTGATGTTATTTCTGCTTCCTTGCATGCTAGCTGAGGGACTGGCCGCTACCTGGGCATTTTCTGACTATGCCCTTCCTCCATTTTTCATTTTATAATAGAACTTCCTTGTATAATGCTGGCTATAGGATTGCTTGAATTAATTCCCACTGCACTTGGTTAAAAATATTGTTAGTTTTTTTCTTTTAAACCACCTAAATGTGCCTGTAGAAGTCTCTACTGAAATAACCCCAACAATTAAGTTCTCTTGTGATTGAAAACACGCCTTATTTAGACTTCACCTATGCCAGCTTCTGTGCAGTGGATGCCTTGCTTGTCTAGGACAAAGCTGATGTTGCCTGTCCAGGCTTCTCCTTACATTTCATTCTCCTCTTTGGATCCACTAGGAGAAGGAAATGTAACCAAAAAAATCAAGAGACAAGTCAATGATTCTCACAACTCTCCAATTCTTTTAGTGTCCTTCTTGAACTGTGATGTGATCCTTACCCATACTCTTACTCATGACTTTAACATACTCAGATACAAGTATAGACAGACTATGGAATGAAAGTCTGGGGAACCCAGATCAGAGCCTGTTGAGAACAGAAGTCTAAGGCATGTCATGGTGGATCAGCTGAATATTCCCATCCCTCCCCCTTCTTCTAATTTCAAAGTATTCCAGTTATAAACAAGCTATTAGAAACTACTGATTCAGTTGGAATGGATATTATATTAGTAGTTTCATGCTACTTTTATTTATTTAAGCTCTGCAGGTCAGATTTAATGGAAATCAGGGAAGTTCTGTATCCAAATGGAGTCAACCGCATTTGACAAACTCAAAGATAGTGCTTTTTCCCCTGGGTCACCCTTAAAGCACCAGTGATTCTATGCCAGAAGCACCCACCTCTCACCACATTGGAGGGCAGCTTCTGCCAGTTCAGCTTCTTCATTCTCAACGTTGGTGTCTTCACTGTCTTGTGGGGAGGCCTGCCCAACCCAAGAGGGCAGCTGAACTGGGAGGCCACCACAGCTTCTATATGCTCTCCTGCCATGCCGGGCAATGGAGGTGGAGGTATGCCCCCCATGCCAGGCAATGGGGGTGGAGGGGGAGGTATGCCCCCCATGCCAGGCAATGG